ATTAACTAACTGGAATTTTCTACTTGTTTCATGTGATGCAGATAATCATACTGATATGATGGAAGTGGATGGGGATGTTGAAATCCCTCCTAATAAGGCAGTCGTGTTACGGGGCCATGAATCTGAAGTTTTCATCTGTGCCTGGAATCCCGTTAGTGATCTCTTGGCATCCGGGTATGTTTCTCAAAGTGAAACTGAGATGGATTTTAGAAAGTATCTTATCGAAGTATTATTACATTTTATAAATATATCACTCACATTTTCAGAATTCTGTTGCTTGTTTGTGGTTATTTTGCCTCTGTAAATTTTTATTTCTTTATGAAGTAATCTTAGACGTTTTCATTAAACTTACTTCAGGAGTGCTTGGGGCCCCCAAAATGGAGACAGAAAAAATACTAGAGTGGAAATTCTTGATCGGCCTGTTTTATTTGCCTTATTAATCTTAGGATGTCAGTAGTTTTTATTTAATTTTGATTCTTGGGTACTTGAGAATGTAATGAATTTAAAATACATTGCATACTTTATAGGTCTGGAGACTCAACAGCAAGAATATGGAATCTTAGTGAAAATAGCACTAGTGGCTCCACACAGTTAGTACTTAGACATTGTATACGAGAAGGAGGGCAAGATGTCCCAAGCAACAAGGACGTGACATCTCTAGATTGGAATGTGAGTATCCCTACAGTGTCCATGATGAATGTAGTTACTAATGTACTTAACCTCTCTGAACCTCGACTAATGGCAGAGTTTGTCCATTTGTTCAGGTGTTCTTGGGTTTCACTAACTAATAAGAACAGCAAACTCTAGGGGTCCTCACTCCCAAATGTGGTTTAAAAAAAAAACAAAGACTGGCCCTTGAGCAATTAGACCAAAGTTCCACTTCTAGCCCTTCAGTTTATCTGGCAGCAGAACCTTCATAAAACAGATGGTCGACCGCTCTGTGCTTCATTTTCCTCACATGTAAAGTAAAAGTGCGATAAAGGTACCTACATAAATGAAGTAATAGATGAAAATCAATAACGGGCACATGCTAAGTCCTTAACTACTAAGTCCTTTGCCAGGGAATAAGAAAAATCTATATAATAAAAACATATTCTTCTATTTCTCATTTTGCTGTGAACTGATGAAAACTTCACCGTCAACTACCTGTTAGGGACTATTAGTCTAGATTGCTTCTGAGCTTTATTCTAGCTATAGTAATCTTATAATTCTTTGATTCAGTATGTGGTATAAGATCTTTCAGAGATAACTTGACGACTCTGACTTACCAGAAAGTTTGATTTTATTGTTTATAAAGCCTTCACCCTTTCAGTTTCAAATATACGATTAACAGCTGTTTGTTTCCATTCTCATGATTAATATGTGGAAAATTAGCATTTTTAAAGTTTCTGTATATCCTTTTTTCCATAGTGCCTTTTTCCTTTCTTGTAACTTTGCATCCATTTTTTACTTGCCCTGCATCTACGGCCCCCCCACCCGCCCACACACACACAAACACATCTTTTTGAGAAGCCTCTTAGACTGTTTTAGTGTTAACAGAATTTTAAGGGGGGGCTGTCCTTGCCTCAGCAAGTGAATAGGTGTCCTTAAAAAAGGATTACTCTAGCTAAAGTTCTGTTCCTATGAAATTCTTTCAAAACTCATAACTAGGTGTTTATTGTTATTGTTATTGTCTTAGCATTCTCTTCTAAAATTCCCAGCAATGTATTTACCCTTCCCCTTATAAAGTTGACAGTTCTAAGAATAGAAAGAGGTTTATCACATCGCAGCATTATTTGGTCGAAGGGTCAGGACTAAATTATTTTCTTAATATGGGATCTTATATCTTAAGTCAAAAGCCTTACAGCAGTTTTATGCTGTTTAGCTCAGAGGTCATGGTAATTTAATGAAATTTATAGTTTACACTGAAAAGAATGGTAAGCAAATGTTGGTTTCTTGAGGTTGGTGGTTCTGAACTGCAAGTTACAGTTTTAAAAAGTAAGGACTTTTCAAAAATATATTATTTCTATGAACTTGAATCTTCCACTAAAAGGCGAAAACATTATCCTTGATTAATAGTTCTTTTTCATGACTAAAGCAAGAGCCCATGACATATTCGATGCTTAAAATATTCTTTTCTGACATTAGTGGTCCATGAACTAAAACATTTGGAGACCATTAGTTTAAAAGAAACTTCCCATTGTGCATTTGTTGTTGGCTTCAATATGGCTTCTTCTCCCTCAGGCCGAACCCTAGGGGTTTTCTAAACCTTGGCAGGACTGATGCTACAACCCCCAGATCTAGCATTCATTTGCTTGTCACTTACTTGTACAGCTAAATGGCTTGAGCGGTTTGAAAAGGGTGATCTTGTTTTCAGCATCCTTACCAAAAAACCTCAAGAAAGTACTGAGTAAAGCAGGATTTCATTCTGTGTCTCCAGTGTTGTTTAATGCACTCTATAACTTGCATTTCCTTAGATCTGTCCTTCCGTTGTACTATCCATCAGGGCTAGGCACAGCAAGGGATATAAGATTAGAGAAATTGGAATGGATTTTTCCTTCTACTAAAATAGTTCCAGGCAGTTGTACTCAACTTCATTAACTCAGCCTATACTCTTTTCTGGTTCTCTTTCATGTCTTGCTTTTTTTTTTTTTTCTCCATTGGTCAGAATTTTATATTGGGAAAGAATTAACAAAAGAAAGGAACATGATATTTAAGAATCTGATCATCTGAAACAACACTATTGTGTGGATCAACAACACACTTTAAGTAGTAAAAAATTTAAAGGGGGGTATATAAAAACTTCTAATCATAATGAAATATTTTGAAAGATTTTGCTTTTCTCTTAAATGATTAGCTAGTGTGATGTTGATGTCCTTCCCAGTCTGCCACCCTGCCTCCGTCTTTAGGCATGTGCGTCTGTGAGACTACAGCAGCCCTTAGCGTACAGAAGAGTGGTGTTGACTCTGCTGCAGAGCAGTTCCTGCCAGTTTTGAGATTTGGGTATTAAGCTCACACACCGACTGATTAGGTGCTGAAAATTCTAGCTTAATACCAGTGAAGGATGTTTCATAGGCTTCTGGTGGCACTCCCAAATAAGCAAAACTGAAAAGTTTTGAAGCAGAGAATGTCAGGAATCTGCCATAGCTGGGATTTAAACAAGAAATCGTGTAGTAACAAGTAAATTGTATATAATTTGTATATAATTGTATATATAAATTATATAATCCCTTTCTAGATTATATAACTGAAAGAAATATGTTTCTCTGACAGAGTGAAGGTACACTTCTAGCAACTGGTTCATACGATGGGTTTGCCAGAATATGGACTAAAGATGGTAAATGAAGCATTATTCTTTTCATTTTTTTTGTTGTTGTCGTTCCAAGTTATAAAGCTTGAAATAATTTTGATATTTTCTTTTTTGAATATTAGGTAACCTTGCTAGCACCTTGGGGCAGCATAAAGGCCCTATATTTGCATTAAAATGGAATAAAAAAGGAAATTTCATCCTAAGTGCTGGAGTAGACAAGGTAAAAGAACTTTAAGTTCTGTAAAAGTTAATGTGTTACAGAGTATAATTAGAAAGTAACATTTTCTCTGCTAATCACATAAACATTAAAACATGCATATTTGGGAAATACAAGTATGTTTTATGATTATAATAGAAATGTTTTCTTAGATTCTTAGATTTTTCTGTCAGGTCATTGCTGAATCTACTCATCAGAATGCCTTCATTCTTTGTAGTGTGACCAGACTCCTCATTTTTACTTCAGTTTGAGCCATAGTGAATGTCATACTTTCCATGCTCTTTGCTTCCCTTCTGCAGTTTCTAGTTTATCTCATTAGTGAATATGGTTCTGGAGTGATTCCATGGGAAATCTTAGAGCCAGTCTTTAGCCGAACTCCTGGTGCTCAATTTAAAATGTAAGAAATACAGGATTTTCCAGCTTATTTTACCTAATTAGGCTGGTAAATATGCATAGATTGGAAAAAAAATGCCTTCTTCATTTTCTTAGTACATCCCCTTATCACACCTCTCATAACAAATACAGTTTAGGATTATTTGAATCTGGGAAAATAATATGTTTGTAGGTAACTGGATGCCTTGTCAAAAGAGAAGTGGAGAGAAAAAAGCAGCAGCAAAGTGAAGGAGGCCAGGAATGGGAGGGGGAAAGCCCTATTAATAGTCACTGCTGCTGTGTAATACACTTCCAGAGTTATAACATTAGTGATATTAAAAGCAATCATGAATATATCCATTCAGATTTATATGTTATACTTTGATGTAATATAAAAGACATTGTTTTAAATATGGTCAGAATTCAAGCTGCCCCTATATGAGAATGTGAGCTTTAAAAATCTGAACATTCAGAATTAGCTGATTACTTTGTTACCCAAGGATTTTTCTCCTTAGAGCTAAACAGTTATAAAAATCTTATATTAAATAAACTATTGAAATGGAGTTTCTAAAGCAATCTAATATAATTTCTGCTACTTTGTAGACAACCAGCAATTGTTATGTGAAGTAAGTTAACTGATGAAAAACCATCAGGGCAAAATTAAACTGCTTAATAGTCATTAACCCCTCCTCCCCCGCCCCCAGATGGAGTATATAGCCTTAGAGATAAAGTAAATGTTAAAAATTAAATCCACTCTGGCATTTCATATTGCTTTAATATAGTTAGGAATCTAATTTATGCACCTATATAATAAACTTCTTAGCAATATATTTTTCTTTTCAATCACAGACTACAATTATTTGGGATGCACATACCGGTGAAGCCAAGCAACAGTTTCCTTTTCATTCAGGTAAATCTTCACAATTTATAAGAGAACTACAACTTTCTTCTTTATTTCTGATTAAACTTTTAAACAGCATATAATTCATTTAAAATCTTGACATATCAGATACCAGTCTTGTTGCTAGTTCTTTGAGGGGTTGATGTTCCATGACTTTCAGATTGTTAATTGTCAGAAGATCATAAGAAGTTTTTTGTGAAATGTACCATAAAAAAGCATTCGGGGCCTGGTTGGTGTTATTAAATGGCAAGGGCAGAGATTTTTGAATCAGGAGGTCTAGGATTTAAAGTTAGTTCTACCTCACTTAACAAGCTTTAAGGCTGAGTGAGTTACTTAACCTTTCTTGGCTTTATTTTTTGTATCTGAAAATGAGGGATAATAATACTTCTGTTATGAGGATAAGACTAGGTAATGTATATGAAAATACTGTATAAACTACAAAGTTAAGATTTTGTTATAATTTCTCATTTTGGATTGCTGTATCTAAATCAGTCCTCCTATGTACATAAAATAAAAAATAGGCTTTTTTTGTAATGTCGTTGGAACTTTGATACTATAGATAGATTTCTCTTTTAAGAGACAATTTGATACTTAAATCTGATAAATGTGATCCCTCTAATAATGTGCTCCAACCTCCATGATATATAGCCATGCAACAGGGAATATAACCTGATGAGTTATATGACAGCCAGATTTTAGTACCTGTGCTCCTTTGCAGCCTAGAACCTTTGTATCTGTTTTTAGGGAGTTTCCTGATGACAATAACTGATGTTAACCTGGAACAAGATACCTAATTATTAAAACAATAGTTTTGGTACTACTTGATTCAGCTGCTTTTTTCAATATTTTGTTGTGGTTCAGAGAGTTTTTATTTGGAGGCTGACTAAAGTAACTCTGGTGGTTTTCAAATCTTTGCGAACATCTTTTTCACAAACAGACAATAGCACAGCATCACCTTTAACTTAAAGGTATAAGTTACACCTTCAATGGAAACTTGCAGTTTCTGGCATTTTGCTTTTTTTGTCTCTCTCTGTTTAGTGTGACTGAAAAAGCCAAAAACGTAGAGTTATTTTTCTTTAGTATTTGAGTAACATAATTTTGCAAGCATTATGTTAAACAATTCAGCTTGGTTAAAGCTTACCACACGGGTAGTCATTTACATATCAGTTTTTGTTCACCTTTGCTTCAAGTCTTCACCCAGGTAGAATTCTCTTAGGCCTCTGGCTATTTGATGTAAAAGTTTCTCCTACCTCCTAAGAGTGATGGAATAATAAAATAAGTGTGTAAGTACTTTTACTAGTTACTATATAATGTGTACCATCTTTGTGCTAGAGATGCTGCTCTGTGTATACATGATCTCATTTAGTCCTGGCTACAACCTGATGAGATAGGTGGTAATGAAGGCATTTTACAAGTAAATAAGGTTTTTACTCATGCTATTCTTTCTTACCGTGCTATTTGGTATTTTAAACAGCTTTATTGAGGTATAATTGACGTAATTATACATATTTAAATTGTATAATTTGATATGTGTTGACATATGTCTATACTATTGAAACCATCATCACAGTGAAGACAATATGTCTGTTAGCTTCAGAAGTTTCCTCCTGCGCCTTTGTGATCTCTGTCCCCTACCTCCAGGCAACCAACCACTGGTAGTCTTACTGTCACCAGAAATTAGTTTGCAGTATGTAAACAGATTACACAGTATATTCTTGCTCTGCATAATTTTGATTTCCTTTCAGTTGATAAGTAGTATTTCATTATGTAGATATACCACAGTTTGTTTATCCATTCACCACCTACTGAAGCAAATTTGGATTGTTTCCAGTTTTGGGCTATTACAAATAAAACTGCTATCAACGTTCATGTATACGTCTTTATATGCACCGGTGCTTCCATTTCTCCTATGTAAATATGGGGGAATGGAATGGCTGTATCATATGGTAGGTATATGTTTAACTTGTTAATAAACTGCCAGGCTGTTTTCCAGAATTTGCATTTTCCACACTGGTTTACATTCTCATGAGCAATGACTATCTGGTTCCTCTATATCCTTACTACTAGCACTTTGGTATGTGGTCCATCTTTTTAATTGTAGTCACTATTAAGATGTATTTAGTTGCATCTCATTGGTTTTTGTTTGCATTTCCTAATAACTAATGTTGACCATCTTGTCACGTGCTTATTTTATCTTTATGTCTTTTTTGGTGAAGTGTCTATCCTATTTAAATTTTTGGTTCTTTAATTTTGTTTTCTTATCATTGAGTCTTACTGAGTTTTGTGAGTTCTTCAGATATTTTGGACGCAAGTCTTAATCAGGTATTTACAAATATTGTCAGACATTCTTTGGCTTGTCTTTGCATTGCTTTGACAATGTCGCTCGAAGATCAGATGTTATTAATGTTGATAAATTCCATAATTTATTAATTTGTTCTTTTATATATTATGCTTTCAGTGTCAATCTAATTTACTATTCTATTAGCTTGATGTGAAGTTGAGGTCACTGATTTAAGACCTTTCTGCTTTTCTAATATGGCTATTTAGTATGTAAGTTTATCTCTAACTACTACTTAGTGACATCCCACAATTTTTTGTATGTTGTGTTTTCATTCAGTTCAGTATGCTTTCTACGTTTGATTTCTTTGACCTATGGGTTATTTAGAAGTGTGTTAATTTCTTAGTTTTGGGGAATTTTCCAGAAATCTTCGTAATGTTGGTTTCTAATTTAAGTCCCTTATTCCTATAAATGTAATTTAGATCAAGTTGTTTGATAATATTACTCAAATCTTTTATAACCTTACTGATTTTTCTATTTATGCCATCTGTTATTGAGAGAGGGGTATTGAAATCATCAACAATAATTGGAAACAATAATTTCTATTTCCTTTGAAGCTCTGTCAGTTTTTGCTTCATTTATTTTGAAACAATTTTATTAGGGACATGAACACTTAAGAATGTCACCTTATGTTGAATTGACCCCTTTATCATTTTATTAATGACCCTCTTTTCTCCATTTAATATTCTGTTCTCTGAGATCTACTTTGATATTAATATAGCTCTTCCAGTTTTCTTTTGATTTGTCTTTACATGGTATATGTTTTTTCTGTACTCTTATTTTCAGTCTATCAATGCCTTTATATTTAAAGTGAATTTTATCCAATCAGCATATATTGCTTGTTCATTCAATATCAACCTTTATCTTTTAATGATAATGTTTACATCATTTACATTTAATGCAATCATTGATATGATTACATTTAATTTAACCATTTGTTTCTCTCTTATTTCCTCTTTTTTTCCTGCCTCCTAAAATAAATACAGTTTCCTACTTTGGTGGGTTGTTTACTACACTTTTTAACAGTTGCATTAAGATTTATAGTACACATCTTTATCACCAACTACATTCAAGTGATATTTTGAAGGGATTAAAGAATTAAATAAGTTTTACTCATGTAGCTACCACTTCCATTGCTCTTCATTCCTTTGCATAGATACATATTTCATTTTGGTATCATTTCTTTTCTGCCTGAACTTCTTTAATATTTCTTAAAGGGAAAATCTGATGATAAATTTTTTTAGCTTTTATATATTTGAATAAATCTTTATTTCACCTTCATTTTTGGAAGATATTTTTGTTAGGTGTAGAATTCTGGAATTGACAGGTTTTTGTTTTGTTTTTTTTTTTCTTTCAATACTTTCAAGACAATGTAGTCTCTTCTCATTTACTTCATTTTCAATTTGAAATTGCTACCATTTCCATTCTTAACACTCTACATAATTTGTCTTGTTTTCTCTGGCTGCTTTTGAGATTTTTCTCCTTATAGCTGATTTTGAGCAATTCGAATATGCCATGCCTTGGTAAAGTTTTCTTCATGTTCCTTATTCTTGGAGCTTCTTGGATCTCTTGGTTCATAGTTTTCCTCAAATTAAAAGAAATTTAACCATTTAAAAAATATTTTCCCTCATTTTCAAAAAATCCAAGATTTTGATGGCATGTTTATTAGTCTGCTTGACATTCTACAATTCACTTATGCTCTGTTCATTTTTTTTTTTTTTTCCAATCTTTATTCCGAACCCTCTTGTTGTTCAGTGGTCAGCTGTAGTTGCAAGTGCTTTGATGTCTTTGTCTGCTAGTTCTAACATCCAAGTCTGTTCTGGGTCAGTTTTGATTATTTGATTTTTGTCTTCATTTTGGTCATATTTTCCTGTATCTTTGCATGCCTCGTTACTTTTGATTGGAAATGAGACATTATGAATATTACCTTGTTGGTTGCTTCATATTTTTGTATTAGAAATATTTGTTAACTTTGTTCTGGGACACAGTTATGAAATGGTTTGATCCTTTTGAGTCTTGCTTATAAAATTTGTTAAATGGCAGTGAAACAGTGCTCAGTGTGGGGCTAATTATTTCCTAGTACTGAAGCAGGAACCTTAAGGATACTTTTAACCAGTATTCCATAAATCATGAGGTTTCTAATATGACTGGTGAATATAGACCCTATTACCAGATTTGAGTATCAAACATTGTTTCTTGTAATCCTCTTGAGTGGTTCTTTTCCAGGTCTTAGCTAATGTCCTCACACACTTTTGCTGATAAGTACTTAGCTGAATGTGTGAGTAGGATCCACTGCAGATCTTCAGAGTACTCTGCATAGCTTTCTCCTTTCTAGTACTCTGTCTTGTGAATTCTAGCTGCCTTGGTCTCCCCAGATTCCCAGCTTTGTTTAGTCAGCTCAGGAATTTCATTGACTTCTGCCTAGGGAGATCGCTCTTCCCCATGCCAAAACCTGGACATTTTTTTCCAGATTATAATCTCGGGCAATCTTGTGAACACATTTTTTGTTGGTTTTCCTTCTCTCAGGAACAACTGTCTTTTGTTGCCTAATGTCTAGTGTCTTGAACTGCTATTTTATATATTTTGCATATTTTTTGGTTGTTTGGTGCAGAAGGTAAATACGGTCTCTGTTACTCCACCTTGACCAGAAATGGAAGTCTACCATGCTTTTTAAGTTACTGTCATTTAATTCCTGTACTAAATATTTTCCCATGTACACTCTTGCATAAAGCATAAATCATGGCTATAGATGTGTTACAGTGAGCTACCACTTCATATCCATTAGGATGGCTATGAAAAATAACATGTTTATGAAGATGTGGAGAGATTAGAACCCTAATACTTTGTTAGTAGATATGTAAAATAACACAGTCATTGTGGAAAACAGTATTGCGGTTCCTCAAAAAGATAAATATGGAATTACTATGTGACCCAGCAATTCTGTTTGTAGGTATATATTTAAAAGAATTGAAAGCAAGGACTTAAAACAGATTCTTGTACAGCATATGTTCATAGCAGTATTATTCACAATAGCTAAAAGTTGGAAACAAGCCAGTGTCCATTAATAGGTTAATGGATAAACAAAATATGGTTTATACAAGCAGTGGATTATTATTCAGCCATTAAAAAAAAAAATGAAGTTCTGGCACATGTTACACCATTCATGGACCTTATACACATTGTGCTATGTAAAATAAACCAGACACAAAAGGACAAATAGTATGATTCTACTTATATGAAATAACTAGAATAAGCAAATTCATAGAGACAAAAAGTAAAGATTAGAGGTTATCAAGAGCTAGGGGTGAGAGAAAAGAGGTGTTATTGCTTAATGGTTACAGTTTCTGTTTGGGGTGATGAAAAAATTTTGAAATAGTAGTGATGGTTGTATAACATTATGAATATAATTAGTGCCATCGAATTATACACTTAAAATGACATTTTATGTTATATGTGAACACAGTATTTAAAAATTAATAATATACCAAAAACCATTGAATTGCACACTTTAAATGGGTGAATTTTATGGTATGTGAATTACATCTGAATAAAGCTGTTTAAAAAAAAAAGAGTAATAAATGCCTTTCTTCCCCTTTCCTCATTACCTTTTTAACTTACGAAGGATGCACAGGTTAACAAAAATAAATCAGAATTGGACTCAAAAATCTGAATCTTAGCTTCAGTGTTTGAGAAGTTTGTGCAACCCTGGGAAAAATAACTTTTCTTAGACTCTTTATCATGTGTAAAATGAGATTAGTAATAGAAACACACCTCATATATCACTTACATAAAAGTACATTTTATGTTAGAGGTCTGCTTCTATCCTAAAGAACTTGTTTTATTTTAGGAATAAATTTTATTGTAGGAATAAAAATAAAGTAAGGAGGTATGTATTTTTAGATTATGCCGATCTATAACCATTGTATCTTATAGCCAGGTATACCACAGAAACATTAATCATACAACTCATGTTGCAGCATTCCCCAGTTTCCCCCAATTATCTCTACGCGGTTATACAGTTTGTTTTTGTTTTTAATCTAACAGTTTATTTGTTTGAATGCTACTTCCTATTTTCTCAGCCACCTATCTGATATTTTGCAGACAGCTCTATACCAAATTCATACCCTGTTACATCATGACAGATACTTGACCTTCTTCATAGCATTTATTATACCTTTGATTGTCTTCTAAATTAGACTTTTCAGACCCCTTTTCCTTGCTGCTTAATACTTGAACATATTATTTACCTAAGAAACATTTTGTTAAAATTGCTTTTGAAATGATATCTTAAGTAATAATATTAATGTCAGAATGAAAGTGTAGTGTAAGTAGTTCCTGAATCAGATTCCAGGCACAAAAACAATCTAAACCAGGTAATCCAAGAAAGGGAATTTAATACAAGGAAATAGTTGCAGAGGTGTTGAAAGAGTGAAAAACCGAAGAATATAAGGTAACTCAGAGTTTAACAACTGCTGGAAACCTAAGACTGTAGAGAAGGTGGCAGAGTCCAGCTGCCCAGTGGGATTTGCAACTTTAGAGAAGAGGCTGCCTGGCAAGAACAGGCGTCATGGAGTAATAATAGCCGCTGCCAGAGAAATGGGAGCAAAATCTTCTGTCTCCCTCCTTTCTCTTGACCTTGGGCTCTTGATGGTGTCTTCCACTGTATGAACCCTTCTAGAAACCTTGTACGCACTGGAGCCTGGGATATGTAGTTCATGAGAGTCGGCCACCTGGGTGCAGAGCATAGGTGAGCAGAATGTGGTAAGGAATGGACTTCAGAGCAAGGTGACAGACGAACAGGGCAGTTGTGTGCGTTGCTCTAAGTAGGGATGCACACAAACAGCATCACAGTTCACACATGGCGCTGATCAAAGTTGGCCTGTATTTTTATTTACCGGCTGGTTTAAGTTGGATTCTCTCAGAAGCAGACCTTGAGCCAAGCATTTGAGTGAAGTGATTTACTAAGGAAACCCTCCCAGGAGAAACAAGTGAGGAGTTGTGGGAAGCTGATGGGAAGGGGAAGGAGCCAAGGAAGGGAGCAGTTTCTGGTGAAGCAGGCCCAGTCTCAGCGTGATAGCCAGAAAGGGCTCTGGAGTGTTTATTTACACCTCAGAATTTTTCTCATCTTGAGCCAAGAGTGTTAGGTTTTTTAATCCCTCCCACTCCCAGCTATATACCACCAGCCATTGGGTACTAGCCACCTTTTGGAGGACATGGACAGCAGCGTAGTCGGGTAGTTCTCTGAATAAGTTTGCTCGTGGGAGCTCTGAGCATGAAAGCACTCAGAAGCTGGGGAATGGACACACAGCAGAGGTAAAGAGGCTCTACAAGGGAGGGAGGAAACCAGAAACACCTCAAGTAGTGTTGCCTAGAAATAGTTACAGCCTGACATTCAGTCCACTTGCCAGCTCTAAAATTATGTGTCTTAGTTATTTAAAAAAAGTTTTTTAATCTGGTGGGAATTCTTAGAATTTGAAATTTTGTACAAAAGGTGAATTTATGTTAATATTTTTATATACCACTATACTTTCCATAAGGTTGTTTTGGTAGAGAATTAAATATTTTTTTATATAGCCTCAGATTTTGTACCCTCTGC